ATTTCTCACTCTGGGCTCTAGAGTAGTTCTTTTTAAGTGCCATTGTTTAAATGTACAACCCAGTATTAATGTTCCACTCCCTGATATGCAAAGATGTCTCTAGGTACTCCTTTCCATTTGTGCTTTAAATGCTGATCATTATGATTAACCGTCACCTGAACCTGGGTACCTTTTTCGTAGGCAGGAGCTGATGTTGTGTTGGGCCGGACAATCTGGGGAGTCCTGGGCATAGGTGCCTTTGGATTTCAGCTCACAGAAGTACCTGCTGGGAAACACATCATCGTTACTACCCGTTCCCACAGCAGTACCCTGGTAAATGACTGCATCAGTGCCTTGAACCCCGACAGTGTCATCAGAGTCGGAGGAGCAGGAAACAAAGTATGAAAACTCAAAATCTTTTGTTTTTACGGGGAGGTGGTACCTTTGGAAAAAGAAAAAGAATTTTTTAAAGAAATCATTTGCTTACTTGCATGAATGTACAGGAGACTTCCTCCTCCTTCCCCAGCACAACTTCTCGTCCTAGCATTCAGTCTGCTGTGAGGTAGAGAGAATTTGGTACAAATATATTTGTAACAGTGGCCGTGCTGGTCATGGCTGAGGTCCATCTTCCTCGGTATTCTGTTTCTAGGGGAGAAAATAAAAAGTTATAAGGCCAGAATGACTAAATGCAAATTCAATTTAATCACAATTATTAGACATTTCCTCCTGTTCATGTTAATACAGTTTTTGTTCCAACTATTTAGCAGCACATATGAAAGGATAAAAATAGAAGCACACAGTGATATTTCCTTTGCAAAACTTCTCTGTGTACAGGGAATACTCATTTGCTACAGTTTGTAAAGCTTAGTTTTGTCATGGCTATCAAAAACAGACCCTCCAATCTCTTTTCTCCAACGTGTGCAAGGCCCAAAATGACACCAAGACAACACGGAGATGGTTTCCACTTTTTTTTTTTTTAGTACTTGCACAAAATGGAAATTCTTGTTTCTGAAACTAAAAGCAGATTTTCATCCTACCGACTGTATTTATAACAATCAAAAATAGATCATTCAGAATGGTAATACAGTATAGCTTTCTAAATCTTAATCTAATTTCTTGTAATATCGGAAAGGAAATGGCTGGTGTTCCTTTTCTGACCGTAACAACATAGAATAAACTGATGTAATCCCTGGTGTTATTTTTACTCATTTCTAAATGCTTAGATCCTTTGCAATGATTGCCACTCTCTATTCATAACAGATCATTCAACTTATAGAAGGCAAGGCATCTGCTTATGTATTTGCCAGTCCTGGGTGCAAGAAATGGGATACATGTGCACCTGAAGCTATTCTACATGCTGTGGGAGGTAAGTTAATAGCATTCAAAATTCCAAGATAAGTGAAACTGCATCAATTTAAAGTTATTTGTACTTTTCATGGAAAAAAAGAATTTCCAAACATGTCTTTGGAAAGAAAAATGACAGTATGTATGTATTTTTAAATAGTCATGATTCATTAGGAGCTTTAAGCCCTTTGAAATCAACAGTAACTCCAAAGGGACAGCAAATTATGCTCTGGAAAGCATGATATGACCTGTTTTGCCCTGGACTAATATGGTCAATAAGTGTCAAATAATGAAAAAAGCCAAATTCCAAAATTTTTGGGTATATTAATTTTAATATTTTCAAAACAAATGGCTTTTTTCCCTGTTGGCTACTATTTCACAGTAAAATCATGCTGTCCTACTAACTGGATATAGTAGTTTATTATTAGTAACATATTATGTAATATGTGGACATTGAATTCTTCAAAACAACAAAAATAGGCCAAATCATGCAGTTATTCCTTGGATGTACAAACTCCAAAATTGAGTCATCCATGTAATTCAGTAAAATTAGTGGTCTCCAGCCAACATAAGCCACTTCACCTTCCTAGGGGGTAAGGGGTTAGAGAAGTTATGAAAAGTCTCACTGACATGAATTTGAATGTAAGTATTGTTATCATACTTTCTCTGCTGTTCATGTTGATAGACCTTTTACCACCATGTGCTAAAATTGTGGGGTTTGATCTCCTAAATTCTGTCAAGTAAGGATAACAGGCTTCATAATGACACCATTTAACTCCTCTGCAGTCTCTAGTGTTGATAACTGGGATAGCTTTAAACAGGTTAGCTCAGGCACAAAAAAGTAACCAATCTGGGGCAGCACAGTGCTGTATTTAGCCTCCTTGTTATGTAGGTATCTCGTGGTTAAATTAGCTGGCATAAAGATCTGTGTTGCTTTTGCCAAGTGATTTCTAGAAACTCATTTAAAACCAGCTGGAATGTTTCTATATTATGTTAGAGTTTGTTGTATAGACTTAACCTTGGCTTTTACTTGAATGGAGGGTTTTTCTTTCCTTCTTGTCAACGGCCAATGTATAAACTACTCAGGAAGCATTTTAATTAATCTGTAAGAGAGAGATGTTGTTTTCCTTTTCCTGAAACACAAGGAATTTAAGTATTGCTGAAAGAAAAGTAAACCATTAGTTATTGGATTTCAGTCAATAAAAAACTGTTGCACTTAAACTGGGAACAAAGATATTGCCCATCTGAAGACAGGTGTGTGTACCCCAAAGGCTGTCTGTTTTTTTAGTTATATTACTTGTACTAATAAAGCGGATTATCCCTCTCCAACTCCTGTTTGCTGGAGTAATTTTTTTTTTCTTTGCAGGCAAGATAACTGATATCCATGGAAATTCATTTCAGTATAACAAGGAAGTGAAACACATGAATTCAGCTGGGGTCCTTGCCACTTTGAGAAATTATGACTATTACGCCAGTCGTATTCCTAACACCGTTAAACAATCTCTTGTGCCTTAAAGCAGTAAAGCATCTTCATTTGGCCTGGAAGGCTGAGAAAGTGAGCTTGGAGAATAAGAAAGAAAGAAGATAACTAAGCTTGAAATGTTGTTTTATCGAATCTGAACCAAATTCTTCCATTAAGGTGTTCAATAATTTCAAAATTACATACAGAATCTCTAGGTATATGTTCGATCAGATTGTTTTGCTATGTTTAGCAGACAACATCAAAAAAGTCACATTTCTTCAATAGTAGTTTTCCATATTCTTTGGGAGTATTCATTCTTCATGTGGTATGACTGTGCTTAATATACTGCTAATCATAACACTACAGTCCAAAAATCATCTTAATATTCAGGGAACAAAATCATGTTAAGTCATTTACCTGATCTTGCTCAATGTTTTTTGTTGTATGTGGTCAACAAGGGTTTATTGTGTTAAATACAAATGGACTAAGAATTTGCCTGGATGCCCATTTATTATAAAGTTGACAGTTTTGATTCCTAGAAGTGAGTCTTTGAATTTTTTGGTCTGCACTCAGTTTTGGGATGGCCGAGATTGCTATTTGTGGTGAGTTGGGTTGTCCGAGTTTTGCAGGAGCAAGGACACAGTCCAGCTGGGCCTCTGACGTCTCAAATAGGGGTTCCTCAATCATTGGACCCATTGAGGATCAGTGAAGCGTTAATACAGCAGGGTTCGGGACCCCTCAGCTGAGGAGAACCCAAGGAAACTGCAACAGAGGGACGAGTTCCCTCTCTGATGATCTGAAATGCCTCTGTCAGGGTCTGTGCCACCTCAGTCTTGGAGAGCGTTGGGCATCCTAGGTCACTTTGTCATACAGGGGGACAACAGAAATGCCAGAACTTGAAATTTTTCATGTCCAAATTTTGAAAGAAACAAAGTCTAGGTGCCTTTCCAACAGCCCCAAGAGTTGAAGAACCTGACACTATCACTTACCCCTCCTGTGGAATATAGGCATGTTAGGGGAGGGGAGAGAGCAGGGGACAAGATCACCTAAAACGAACTTAAAAACTGGAGAGCCTGTTTTAGTCAGCTTTCCCATAGGTGTGGGGGTTAGGAAAGCAGGATTCAACTGTTCAGTCCACTTGAACACAAATGAGAACAAGAAGTAAATTACATATGACTAGCTAAAATCGGCAACGTTAGCCAAAACAGATGAAGTCTCTTCAAGCTGAATTTAGGATTCTGGAGTATCTTGAACCACTGGGGCCCCTATGTACTTTGTTTTCTCCAGATTTTGTGACCGAAGTCCCTCACCCTCAAATTAAGGAGTCTTAGGGACTTCCTTTCTCTAACAGCGTGACACATCCTGAGGCATGCCGTGAAGAGATACCAGTTTCAATGGACAACAGACAGTTGTGCTTTTCATCATGTTCTCTGTGTGGATAGAAGAGTGGCGTATGTTGGGTTCTCAAGCTTACAGTGTCAGGGAGGGTGACTGAACTTGGCTGCTTGCTTAGGTAAAGACTGAATGCCTAAGTTCTCCCAGCATGATTTTTTTTTTTTGGCCTTAACCTCTGCTGACACTATGAATGGGCAAAGTAGCCTGCAGGTTGCACTGCACCCATTCTCACTTCCTCCCTGCCCACAAGTTAAGTCCTCCGAATAACTACACTCTTGGTCCACTCAAACCATCTTTAAGCTAGCACTGAACTTCAAGATACAAAAAGCTGTTTTCCATACAGAAGTGTGTTCAAGTTATTTCTTTCTCCTTTCATCACACAACGTATTTAACATCTCTGATTTACTTAAGAGTCCTTAGATTAAATCCTCTCCTCACAGTAGGGTAACACTAATATGACTTCATTAGCTCAAAGCTGGCTCTATTTCCAGCAAGCAGGAACATCTTTACACCAAAAGATATGAACAAGGCAAGTCTTGCTAAAGTGTTCCCAGTCTCTCCATGTGCACACACAGAAAAGGATCTAAGGAAGCTCTTTCCTTAGTAAGGTCATCTTACCATAACATTTACAGATAAATTAGCAAGATTATCACTTACCTCATTCTATCATCATCAGCCAGTCCATAATGCTATCATGACACTGGATTAAAGCTGCATATATAGGAACAACGCATACTTCTAATTCCTTTCATCTATAGCCTACCTTTCTTCTCCTTCCTCAAGCGCATGACTAGTAAGAGCACGCAAGACAGATTCAGCCTGCTTTAATTAGAGCCTTCTTCATATTTTGACCCATTATAAGTTTAATCATTCCACATATTGATTGTGACTGAAGTTTGAACCACGTAGCAAATACAAGATTAATCTAATTTCACTGCCTCAATTATACATAATTCTCACCTTTATCTTCTGCAGAATTCTTGGATATGCATGCTTTAGTATTCACATCAAAATCTGCATGTGAATTTGCAAAACACATTAAGATAAAATGTAGAACGACTTAGACAACTCAAAGCCTGCCTTAATAAGTCTTTCCATGTAATCATTAAAATACAAAGTACAGAACCCGTTAGTAATCTTCACATATGTCTCTGTATCCTTATTTTCATCTGAAACTTGCTATATGTTTGAAAATTTCCTCAACATAAGCCTGTTTCTAATTCTGCTGTAATTTATGTCTCTGCTCATTTACAGTTACCTCAATGGGAGTAGAAGACACATGGCATACACCAGCTTCTACCTGATGTGTAAAGACACTTATGTATGGAACCACTTTCCATACTTACAGAAACTGTAAAACTGCTAGCACAGGAAAATATTAAGGAAAGCTGAGGTAAAATCCAGCAGCAGGAATCAAGGATAAAAGCCAGCACATAAGGTGCAGTCATGCTCTGGCTATACCGCTATGGCCACTGCACAAAACAGCACCGGTCCACCAATCAAGCATTTGAGAATTCCTCTGCCAGCACATTAGGTGCTCTAGTACATCTGTAAAATAGACTGGGGGAAAAAAAAAAGCAGCAGTGACACTGCATTGTCCTTGTAACAATGTGAACTTGAGTGTCTCCTGTGAGAAACTGCTGACACAGTATTTTTGTAATTCATCCCAAGACTAGTTTGACCCACTGCAAAATCTGCGTGTTTGTGAAGAATGTAACAAGTAACATTCTACGAAAACAGGCGGGTTAAACCACTGTACTCAAATATTTGTGTCTGTCTATGTTGCACTGTTCGATTTGTTTGTATCATTATATATAGAAAAGGGATTGAAACTATGCCAGCAGCTGCTGCCAGACACCTAGCTCAAGAGTTTTTACGGTTAACTCCTGCAGAGCTCTCGGGAAGGCTCTGCCCAAGCGCCGGAGCCGCTGTGAGAGGAGAAGCG